AATAAATTGGTTTGTTTTGATCTGTCGTCAGCAAAAAATCGGACTTGAGGGTGTCAATAGGTAAAGGCCTGTGACTATAACGATGATTGCGCCAAACCTAATCACCATACTAGGCTGTGCAAGCATAATCAATTTCCTAGCCCCTCAACTTCCAGTGTCAAAACTGGCTTGAGACATAACCTGAATTTGAAACATTCCGTGCAATAATGCTAAGATAAAAAGCCATTTTGTTGTCAACCCAAAAGTTCTAGTTTAAGGCTATCATTCCCTCTTGTCAGTATGTACAATGTCAACTATAGAAATTTACCCAGATAAGCTATCGAAGTCAAGCAATCAACGCTACCTGCTTAACATTATACATGACTTCAAGAGAAATTGACTCACCAAGCGGAAGCGGAAAGAGCCATCTCAATAGAACTCAAAAGTAATCGGATTCGCGTAGTTCCGACCAGTCGTCGGGCCTCAGGGTCAGCCGGAGAGATCAAAACAAATTCATCAAGATCGTAACTGCGAATGGAGACAGCAATGTTTTCACCCATAAAAGTATCGACATAATGGTATGCACTAACTTACGAGGATGCAACAAGGAGAACCCTAGTCAAATCATTACCCAAGTGTTCTAAATCAAAATTAAAGATGTCATTAGAATATTTGTAAGGCAGACAAAATACAAATGGGACATTACAAATACTTATGGCGCATACAATGATAGCACAAAATCCTAAAAGATTGGGATCAAAAGGTACGTATTTTAGAAGCTACACGTTTTGACTATGAGAAGAAAGCATATAAATGCCAAAACCTCTCTGAAGCGATGGTTAACAAAATTATTCACAACAGACCATGGTCCAAAGTACCCACTACAATACTCATGCCAATTTCGTTTTTAGGCTTGACTACTGTGTATGTAAAACGCAAAGTTATGCTTCCTATATCACTCAAACGGAAGGGCAGTGTTTAGGATTTCCACTCAAGCATGCCTAATAGGGCTATCTGAATAATTCGAAGATGGAGGATCTCCAATCCACTAAGGTTCAATTCCAATTAATGTCGAGAATCAAAAACACTAGAAAAAGAACAAAAAAATGTAACATACTCGTCGATGCGACAGGGCGAACAGCGAAGTGTTCTACTTTAAATTCAAACGTATCAAAACTGGCAAATGAACAGCGGACTAGTGAAATGGGTTCCAAGATCGCCTAACAGAAAGTCGCCAGCAATAAATAAAAAGATAAAGTAAAATGCACAGAGCATTATTTGGCAAAATTGAGGCTCAGCAATAAATATTGTGTATATCAACTTTAGAGCTAAATATTCATATCTTAGTAACACGATTAAGAAGTAACTAACCAATCCCTACCAGAGGGAATCAGAATGGAAAATGTAAGACATACTGGCGGATCACTGGGTGAATCTTTCCAGTCCAGTAATATTATTTGAAGCTGTGTGTTAAACCTAAAATGTCAACGCATAAAATTGGAAAAAAATAAGCAATAAGGTCACTTCTCCCATGGAGTGGCGTTTGTGAAATCTTCGAAGCGATCCTCGGGCTGGAAGCAAAATGATCCCAGAATTAGTTGTTCTACAGCCTTAGGATACCAAGTTGTCTAAGCATTATACATGGGTTAGTAAGAGCTTAAGACGCACATAGGTATGCTAAAACTAGCACATCCAAAATGACGAATGTAAATTAGGGAAAGAAACAAGAGCGTCATTAAAAATCAATCACCATAAATCTGAAAATCTATGCAACACCGAAATTCAAAAGTAACACCCAGACGCCTATTCCACGAAGAAGACGCAAGTAGATGCGGAAAATATGAGTGACGTTGAAAATCAACTCGCAGACTAGAAATAGCAAGATGAGTGCCTATTCTAAATCATTTAAAATACCCTGAGGCGCGTTGTTACATATCTTCTAACACCGCAGTACTGCACACTGAATTAAGCAGAATTACAAGGTAATTCTGCTACATTGCTGTAAGCTACAATGAGTATCACAGAGGATGGCATCAAATGAAGCAGTTGGTAGGGAAACCAATATAAATTCACCAATTTTTCCTTGTAAAGAGGCAGCTCAGGCCGACTCCCAAACCTATGATAGGTCATCGAGACTTCACACAAGCTCGAGCAAGGGCACAACGCGAAGAGAGGGTCGTGACGAGAAATTCGGTAGACGGTCGCATAAAAATGAACTTTACATATCAGCCGGAATGTTGATCATGCAATGTTAACGTTCACTCAATTATTGCTAAAAAAATATGCAGGAAAAATCAAGACATCAATTATAATGCAGTCCAAGTGTATAAAATCCTACAAAAATTTGCTAGAACAGTAAATATTAACATCCAAAAATTCTGTGAAGGTTTATAGTTGAACTTGGACTTTACTAAATGCAAAACTTAAAATTTTTAGCCTTTTACAACTTTTTGGATAAATAAAAATTGCGATCATACGTGCACAAGCAGTTTGCTTTTTTAACTAACATAAAATAGAGAACGTTTGTTTAAACTGTTTCCAGCTAGTCGCGAGAAATAATGCGCGGAGGATGTGCTAAGTTAGCGCTCTTGTCTGGATTGTCAGTCGGTTTCGCATTTGGGGCTTTTAATTTCTTCCAAAAGGGTATGTTGTGGGGTGTGATTATATTTCAGCAAATGTACGAAGTGCAGCAGTAGTGACGATAATGGCTGGTGCATTCGCAGCATCACTGGGAAAGTACTCGATATTTTTATTCAGTGGGCATTCCCTCTAGCCTTCTCTGTCAAACTAGGAATGTGTCTGCGAGTATTTCTGACGGACCCTCATACTGGATGTATAAGAGGGAATTGGACGATAGATTACGTGTGAAAATCGAAGCCGAGGAAAAGAAGGCTTGAAGTATATGACGTTAGCAATCCTAAAACCTTACTTATTCTCCATAGATTTGTCTAATGTTCTTGAGTTGGATTTCAGTGTTCTACAGTAGATGATTGTTGCAACAATGTTGACTTGAGCTTGTCCCTTTTATCGTGGATTCA